GGTGAAAGTTACCAAATATGAACGCTACCTGAATACCCCACGTAAAGATGACTTTACTGCGACACAATGCCAAGAGTTTGATACCCCTCTTGTGCCACTGGAAGAAGATGTAAACACCATCTCAACTTTCTCTGGCTCTATTCTTGGTGTACAGAAAGCCTCCAAATCCCTTGCATGCGTAGGCTGTCACAGTGGCGTGCTGGCAGGGGGGGGGCGGGGGGCCACGGCCCCCCCAGCTGGCAATTCTTGGGGGGCGCAAAAATGAAAAGGGGGCGCCGATCCCGCCCTGAATTTTGAAAGTGGGTGGAAAAAAACGCGAAATTCGAAAAAATATAGTTACTTCCGCCAAGAAACTGAAGAGATGTGTTTATAGGCTTATAAACAGACTAAGAGTATAGGCGACAAAGCGATATATTAAATTATAGACTATTTTGTCTAACTGTATTTGCTAATTTGCTACCTCACGGCTCACACGAAATCGTTCATATAGAAACATGATCAGTGATCACACGCAATGTCTCATTACCGGAATATTGGTCAGGTTTCCAAGCGATCACGGGAATTATGCCCTTTTTCCTGGCATTATGCCCTTATATTACGCCCTTTATTATGCTTCACGAACCACGAGAGCGGCGCAAATTAGATAGTTGAAGTTGTGATAATGTAAATTGTGTACGCAATTTAGTTGTTTGCGCAAGAAACATGAGTAATGTAAGTAATGAAATAATGCTGAAACGCACCCTTTTGGCAGCCAGGCAAGGAACTTATAAAATGCATATGCGTGGGGTCCGTGTGTTGTTATATAAAAGAGATGTAAGTTGTAAATGTATTCAGATCACTAGATCAGTAGAGAATAGAATTGGGGTTAGATTAATAGCTGGAAGTAGTTAGCATTGCCCAATTTAAGTACTACTACTAAATTCTAACCAAATTGCAAATTTCGACACGTTATAATGCCGTTTCCTGACCATCAGATTCTGTCAAATCTTCCCCCAAAGTCCAGGAAATGGCATTTCAGAGACTCTAAATTCAAAAATTTTCCTGGGGGCATGCCCCCGGACCCCCCTAGACAAACCTCGCACCTGCGGCGCTCGGCTCGTGCCTTCGGCCCTCGTTTATCAAGCGTAAAATTATAGGGGCGCAGATTGGTTGACAGCCAACTGGCCCCCCCAGAAAAATAGTACCCAGCACGCCACTGGGCTGTCATAAAAGGTCTGTCAATGTAGAGGGAAATAAAGCTGTGTGCCAGGCATGTGACCTTTCCCAGATCGCAACACGATGTCCCAGCTTCTGGTCAGTCCGATTGTTAGTGAAACCAGATGAATCGTCAAAAAATGTCCGTCTGATTCTTCCCAGTCATATGCTAGAGAAGTTTGTTGCCATCACTGGTTCTTTAGTGGAACTGGACACCATTTCAGAGGAAGATTTGGTTTTCTCAATACTTGATTGCTGTTGCAAAAAATTTGATTTTACATATGACAACATTGGAAATGAGATTACTAACATATCACTTAGTTAGTACCATATATTACATGGCTGCATGCCTTTGTTATTTATGCTCCTCATAAAATTTGTGCTTCTGAAATGTTCTGAAGCACTATGGACTTCAATTCAAATTAGTTTGTATTGACTTTGTGTTAACATTTCAAAGACTTATGTCTTCTTATTATAGTATGAAGCACTATGGACTTCAACTTAGATTACTATTAGCCATTGATATTAGGTATTTACATAATTACATGTAGGTTATGTTTAGGTTATGTTTTGTCACTATTTATAATGGGGAAGTAAAGGTTAACTATTGATATAATTAGCATTAAATAGCAATAAATAGCCTGTTAGCCATGCTATTTGTTACTTACCTTGCTTTTAATATACAATTTAGTTCAGTTTCACATCCCCAACAGAGTAACAAAAGAAAGCTCTGCTTGTGTTAAGATGAATAAGATCTTCCAAAATTCTATACTTTCTGTAATATATATTCCCTTTGTGTTATATTCAAATAAATTAAAACTTGTTTTATTGCAGATTGCAGTATAAACATTTAAACAAATATTAACATTTGAATTCAAGCTGGTGAACTGTCATCCTCGTCCCCAGGACCTCTCGGCCGCGTGCGTCCTCCCCAGTCCTAGGCTCTGGGACACACGGAACCGGAAGTGCAAGAAAACTTGCAGTAGTTTCTAAAGCGCATGCTCTTGAAATGGGACACTTTAGCACCCGTAAGAATTTTCACAGTGAAGTATTAAGAAGAAACGAAGTATTTGTGTTGACATATGTTGATAGAATAATTTTGCCCAGCGAAAACTGCTCAACTTCTGCGACATAGCAGTTCTCTGAGAAGCCAATCAGATCTCTTCCTTTAGTCGTCTATCCCAGAGCCTAATTTTCAACGAGTGACCGAGTGAAAATGGCTCTGGGGACGAGAATGGTGAACTGTATAAAAACCATAGAACTTGCTGTCTTGCTCAGTCAACCAGGTTGACTCTGAGGTTGACCGGTGTAGCCTGCGTCCTGCGTGGCAGGCTCAAGGGAGAATATGAGCCTGCCTCCTGCAAATATATATACGGCAGCACTTCACTTGCGATAGTAACTTCTAGTTTAATTTGTTAAGAATTTTGCTCATCCGCGATATGCATGGTTGCGCTATAGTGTGTTTTCACGCGAGCCGCTGTGACGTCACTAGAATTTAGCGTCCGTCATGTTGGTGGAGTAAAACGCGTCACGTGCGAGGAATTTACTAGTGTTTACTTATAGCTGTGCCAAATCTGTTCGAAATATTCCTCAATATGCCGGCTTTTTGTGTAGTTTTAAACTGTTCAAATGACAAATCTAAACGTACAGATCTTTCTCGGCTGCCGGGTGAAAAATCAAGGCGAGGAAATGGAGATTCTGTGAACCGAACGCAGGCGAAGATGGCTGTCGGCCATATTAAATTGGAGTCGCCGAACGAATGAAACGCATATGCATGAGAATACAGAAGAAATGGTCAAAGAGAAGTTACAGAGAGTAAACGAACCTGGCGTGGTTGTTAAATGTTTATTTGATCCTATGACTATGGACGATATCGAAGACATCGCAGAAAATTTTTGCCAGAAAACGTGAGAAACGCCAGCCATATATTATAAAACACAAACAGACATTTCAACCACAACAGTTGGCATTCAGACAAGCGAGTGTCATGCAGTAATTCTATGCTTCAATCCGAGTTATAATTTCTTGGTGAACCATGTTCTGCTGACTTCTATTAATAGACAAACTAATCTCATTGCAAGGGCACAGACATTTTCAAGTTACAAGCATCACAACACTGTAGTCACTGTTAAAGTGTTAATTGGAATTACACCACAAGGTACAATTTGCTTTGTCAGTGGGAGGGAGGACTTTAGATAAGTTTCTGACTGAGAACTGTAGCTTTCTGGACAACCTTATACCAGGTGACTTGGTTCTGGCGGATAGGGGTTTCACTGTCCATGAAAGTGTTCAGTTTCGCCAAGCCAAATTGAACATTCTGGCATTCACAAAAGGAAAAGACCAACTTTATTCTGCTGATGTGGAACAGACAAAAAAGATTGCTACTGTCCGGATACATGTCGAAAGAATTATTGGTTTACTGAGACAGAAATATACCATTCTTCAACAAACTTTGTCAACTGATTGCAGAAAAGGAAAATCTGTTCATCTCATTTGACAGAATGATTCGAGTTTGCTCTGCACTAGTAAACCTTTGCCCTTCTACTGTACCTTTTGATTGAAGTAAAGTATTTTACAACATTATGTTTTCACCAAGAAACAGAAACACGTTCTTTCAACATTTGAAAATTTGGTGGTCAAGTCTGAGAACCTCCCCATGGTGACCACTGGGCAACAGCATGTTGCGTAAATCAGAGGCGGTTTAGTAGGCTACTTTAATTGTACTTTGTCAAAAAGAGACCCCTTTGCAGCTGAAAAGTAAAAAATCTACCCCTGTTTGTTTCACAACATGCTGGCTAATCTCAGCAATAATGTTTCATGCAATTGTCATGGGGGCTTGTGATATGGGGAATAAACCTCCATTTTATCATTATGAGCCCCTCATTTGTGGGAGTCAAAGCCCTGATTCATGATTTGGAGGTTCCATGAGAATGGATACATTACTATTTCAACTAGGCCTGTTTGAATACCATGAGCATTGAAACAATGTAAAAACCATGTCTGTTGGGACTATTATTGGTGGGGGTTAAGTAATTGATCCAAAGACTTTGGGTAGGCCAGGGCAATAAACTACTTTAGGGTCCCATAGACAAAGTCAAAAGCCATATTTTGTGTAAAGTGCTGAGATTAGCCAAAAGGTTGTGCAAAAGTTTGCAATCGCACAGGGATAGATTAACACTTTAACAGACTAACATGATATGACATTGTACGAATAATATGCAAAATAAACTGTCGCGTTCCCAATTCGAGCACCTCGTGGGAAGAGTCGAATAGGAGTTCGTTTAGTGTTCAACCACGCAATAGAAGACAACTTTACACTTTAACTTTTAATATTATTCGTAGAAATGACATACACATTTACGTAAACACATATAGTCCTCAAATGCGCGGTGAAACTACATAAAAATAAAGGAAAAATACACACTATAACACACGAAAGGTAGACGATCAGTTCAATGTCAAAAGTCTGACGACTTACGTTTATAATGTCCCCAAAATTTAACAGGAAGATACATTAAAAGCGTCTCTAAAATATAGCTTGTCTCTATAAAATACAACGTTCCAAAAACGTTATTCGCGTTACTAAGGCAACCAAACCGCGCGAGTCCTGGGCCCCACCGTCCATATATCGACGACAATTCCCGACAACCCGACTCACGCCACGTACTTCTCCGAGTCAACATCACACTCCTCGCCCAAGGATATGCTATCCTTGTCATTGAGATCGTTGTCCTTCTCCGTTGGTAGCAACAATACTATTTCGCTGATAGGACGGTAGACTATCTTCCGTTTCCCTTCTTTGCACACCATGATCTTGACTTTCCTCACTTTTCCATCTTCGCTCGTTAATGCTTCTACTATCTTTCCCATAGGCCACTCGTTACGGGATACGTCGTTGTCTTTTACCAGGATTACATCTCCTCCAGAAAGGTTTTGTTCTCGGTTGCGCCACTTCGTTCTGACTTGGAGGTTTTGAAGGTATTCCTGTCTCCAGCGTAGCAAGAATTGATCGGCCAGGTACTGTACTCTTCTCCAATACTGACGGGCATACAGGTCTTGCGACACGAATCTACCAGGGGGAGGTGCCAGTGGACGCTTCTTTGTTGTCAGCAACATAAAGGGTGTTAAGGGACTCGGTTGGTCGATATCGGTTGGGATCGCTGATATAGGCCGGTTATTAACGATTACTGCGACCTCCGCCATCAAGGTGACCAGTAGTTCGTGATCGAGTTGAGAACTTCCAATGTTCAACAGCATAGCATTCCATACCCTACGAATGGTCCCAATCTGACGTTCCCAGACGCCTCCGAAGTGAGACGCATGGGGTGGGTTGAACTTCCATTCGCATCCTTGATCCCTCACGTATCTCTCGATGCTAGCTTGGTCCATTTCTTTGAGTGCTTCTCCGAGCTCCGTCTTTGCTCCAACGAAGTTTGTTCCACAATCACACCTGATTAGGGCGGCCGGTCCGCGTATGGCGAAGAAACGACGAAGGGCGTTGATGAATGAACTGGTATCCATCGACTGCAGAACTTCGATGTGGATAGCTCTGCTACTCATGCAAGTGAAGACAAGGCCCCACCGTTTTGATTCCGCAGCACCACCCCTTAACTTCCTTGTTCGGATTATCCATGGGCCAAATACGTCA